CAAGGTGCAACACGTGCCGCGCGACAGCTGTTTTCCGGCTCGAGTCGAGACGTTAACCACATTTTTAATTTCGCGGCTCAACGATGAAAATAATAATAATAATAATAATAATAACAACCGTTGCGAAACGTTACCACAGTGAATGTTGTATTGCTCGTCGCGTTATGATCTCCATTTTTCTTTTTTTGATAATAATAATAGTAAAAGTTGAAATAGAAAATAAAAGTTGCCCTTCGTAACGATCATTTTGTCCATTTTTTTACGATTTCACGCTGTTTCCCTCGAACGAACGATTGTTGAAGGCGCGATGATCGATACAGAGTACTTGTGTCGCTTGTGTGTTATAATCGTAATTTTTATAATTGAAAAATTGACGTTGTTTGTTGAAGGAACGGATCGAAGAAGATACCAGGCAGAGGAACTTGTGGTAGATAGAAAAGAAGAGATTGCGTGTACCGGTGAACATGGAGGACGAGGACTTTGGCTTGGCTTCGAAAAGGGCTGATTCTAAGAAAACGGTGAAAAATGACAAGGATAGCTGTCCCTCGATCGTCGGCGATAATTGCTCGGGAGAGAAGGTCTTGTTCGATTAAAAAAAAAAAAAAAAAGAATAAAGTTAAAAGTTTAAAAGCGAATTTCAAAAAATTGACGAGGAGAAAGAGTGAAAGGAAATTTTTGTTTCGAATTTGTCAGACGAGGGAAACGATCGGTGGTGGTGGGTATAGATCAGTGATGACAGCGCCGTTATTCGGGGCGACCGAGGCCGGAAACGCCGTCCCTGAGCGGGCAGCGACCGCCTCTTCATCCTCTCCGGCTTCCTCAGTCGTTTCCAACCCGCCGAACATACCGAACGTGGTCGAGTATCATCTGAAAGTGAAGCCTGGCCAAACACAGAGAATTAGCACCACTCGACTCGATAATAGTAGCGTGAGTATCGAACGATATTTGTTTTAAATCTTTTTCTTAAAATTGATCGAATATATTCGTTCATCGATTGTTTTCAAGAATCGAAAAAGATGTCGAAGAAGTTATGTCGCAATTTTCTAACGCAACGTCGCAATTAATTAATTCGTAATTCCCTTCAACGTTTCTTTTCTTTTTTGTCTTTTCTTAATCTATTAGAATCGTTAGAAAGAAGAAAAATTTGTAACATCGAAAATTTTTCTTCAACGTAGACAAGTCAAGAAGTGGTCGAGATGAAGAAGGAGAAAAGTCCCGTCTCTTCGACCGACAAAGAAAGGAAAGATCTCGTGTCAAAGCTATCTCGTCTGTCCATCGATAACAACGTCTTCGAAGGTTCCACGGATCTTCCTCAAGTGTTCCAGGTATACATATTTCACGATGTTTATCCACGCGCACTCTTCGCGCCTAACCTTACATCACGCAATCGTAAATCCGTAATTTCTCAACTTTTATTATTACCCGTACACCAAAACTCGTGTACCACGTTAGGAATTCGAGGTATAATTATTACCTGAACGGAGCCTCGAGTCACGGAGACTAAAGAAGAGCTCTTTTCAGGTGAAATATTTGGGCTCTCATGATGCCAGGGGCCTCTGGGGTATCAAGCACACGAGGAGACCAGTCGATAACATGGTCGCTGCGGCTAAGGCCTTACCGACCAACACCATGCTGCCTCTGATCAAACTGGTCGTATCCGAGGAAGGCGTAGCTCTGTTGCCTATCGAGAAAAGGAAGCAGGATCCCAACCTCGTCAAGATGTATCCAATCGAGACGATTTCTTATGGGGTTCAAGATCTCGTCTATACCCGAGTATTCTCAATGATCGTTGTACGGGAGACGGACAACTTTAGAAGAATGTCGCCGTTCGAATGTTACGGTTTCGTCTGCGAGTCGAAACATCACGCGAGGCAGCTCACCTACGCTCTGGCCGCTGCTTTCGAAATCTATTCGAGGAGCGTGAAAGCGCAGGATAAAATGGCGGAAATGGCGAGCAAAAACGGGGCGAAGAGAAGGTTTGCCATAGATCTTAGAAGTCCGGAAGAGATGGCGGCCGATTTGGCTGTAGATTCTGAGGCCTAAAAATTGTTTTCGCTTCGACTAGAATCTTCTTCCGTTCCGTCGATAAAAGAAGAATTTGAAAAAAGGATTCAAAGGAAATTACGTTACGTTGATTATCGGGATGGACAATACAGGGTATATATATATGGTCGAAAATATTTAATATATTTTAGATTGCGTTATATCGTTTAGTTCGTTTAAGACAGAGATATTTATGGATTAAGGAATAAAATAACATTAGAAACTTGCTTGTGAAAGGCTTGTTAAAGATACGAGTGATTTACAAAAAAAAAAAAATACTTGTATCCTCTTCAATCGTTTAAATATTAAACATTAGATATCTATTTTTTTTTTTTTAACGTATATTATCTTCGTTTAATTCTCACGAAATGCCGCCCAATGGCTACGAGGCGAGATTTACGTTGATCTTAATTCTTTTTCTTTCGATTATAAAATGCTTTTGAGTATTGATATGACGTTTCACGAGTCTCTCTTGATCGCGGTGAAATTGTGTTTGAACGCGAAAGTTGATTTAATCGTTGTTTTTTCTGTTATTAATTCTATTTTATCGGCATTTATAAACGGGGAAAATAGGTATTGCCTATATCCACGATATGATGGCTAGTTATCCAAAGATACCGAATAGAAAAGAAGCCGAAGATTACCGACGGATTTCGGTGACTTTTGCAATTTCGTAAATAATTCTCTAATTTTTGAATTTAAAATATGAAAAAAAAAAAAAAAAAAAAAAAAAAGATTGGATTTATTTCTAGCCGCTTTTCACGCGAGCGTGCGTGCGTGTGTATGTGTGTGCGTGTATTTCTTTTTTTACTTTCATTTTATCCTCCCTGTACAGTAAATATTTCGAGTATATTTTTTTCTTTATTACCGTTACCATATTATAATTTATTCTCGACTTATCCTTAAGTCGCAAGACCAATATCGACACATATCAATTGTTGTAAATAAATAGTTAACAAAAAAAAAATGAAAGAAAAAAAGAAGAAAAAACGTTATCGACAACGATAGCCTTTTTTTAGCATCAATAATACGAATTATTATTTTTCGACGTTTCGTTAATTCGTTAGATATTAAGTTAGTTTTTTTTTTTTTTTTTTTGCTTTTAAACGCATTCATCTCTTGCACCGTCGTCGCACTTTTCGTTTCGTTCTAGGCTTGGGACATTTGTGTAAACTTTCTTATACGTGTGATTGCTTAATTACCGAATAGCAGTATTAATTACTCGTATCATTGTATATGCAATAAAATTTGTTGCATAGAGACTACAATCCCTTTATTCTCTCTAACTTTCGCCAAACTACATATATATTTATATATCTTTAACACGTTCAAATGTACATTTCGATACAATTTTTATTCTATATTTAAATATCAATATTTAAATACTAAGCAAACTTATTCTTTGCTTTTCCTCGAGCAAGCGTAATCTTGTTTTTTTTTTTTTTTTTTTTTTTCTCTTTCAAAAGTTCACGAGTTTGATCTCTTCTAGGAACACACATACATACATACATACATACGTACACACACAGCCGCACTTCTTAGCGATCGCAAGAGATCACTGATCCCGTGATATTTTCTTCGGATTCGAGATCCTCGACGTCCTGGCCGGAGGTCTGCTCGAAATCGGTTCCGCGTCCGATTCCTTCGTAGGCCGCTCCTCCACGTCGTTTTCCTCTTCCTCTACCTCCTTGCCAATCGCCTCGTTCAAGTTGTAGAATTTCTCAGATTCCTCGCATGGTATCGAGTTTTCCGTTTTCGTGCAAACGAACGTCGCCTAACGATCCACAAGCGATCAAAAAATAACCTCGATCGATTTATCGAGAATATGATAAAGTAATAAAAAGAAAAAAAATAGGAGGGGAAATTTACTCACTTGATTGAATACCGTCTCCGCTGGACAGATGAAGCTCCATCTGGTCGAGCCCCTGATCTGTGGCATGCAAACGTGGAAAATCTGACAATCGTTCTCCATGTCGGCGTAGTATCCGTAAATTCTGTCCTGACATGAGAAATTGTCAACGATATTCTCCCTGATCAATGTGGCGTTGTCGGGAAGTTCCAGGCCCCCGGTCTTGTTCTGAAAGAACAGGGAAAGAAACAATTCTTTCGCTCCAAAAAAAAAAAAAATAAAAAAGAAAGAAAAGAAAAGAGATAACAAACCTTGAACTGGGGGATCGGCCTCCTTGACTTGGGCTGTTGAGGAAAAGTCCAAACGATGGAGAGGAGGAGGGCGAGGGACAGGATTAGACAAGTTTGCCGAATCATGATTCGAACGGATTTCGTTTAGGATTGTATACGGGATGGGATTAGACGAAGTGTTTTTCGTTGCGTGTAAACGAAGATCCTGGACGAAGACTGGTGTTCCGTTCCGTAGAAGGGTGTTATATAGGGAACCCGCGCGGAGAGGATCTTGAATATTGTATGAATGGCCAATTCTCGGTAGACGTCGAATTAGTAATTTCATCACGTTTGGTCTGCCAATGACCATCCAGACGTCCACATCATCCTCGAAGGCCCGATGCAAATTTTTTTCCCCCGTTGATGTACCGACCGATACGCTCCCCTGCGTGCAATCGAATTCCTTCTCACCGCGTAATATTCATCGAAAATCCAATCCCCCCCCCCCTCTCGTTAAATATTCCTATTCTTTATTCTTCTTCCTCTCGAGGAAAAGAATTTCGTTTCGCCGAGGAGAGACGAGAGAGACGCCCTTTGGATCGGATCCAATCTCTCCTCTCTCTCTCTCTCGAAATATTGCCTCGAAAGGAATCGGAGGCAGGGGTGCGGCGAATACTCGCCGAGGTATCCTGAGGACGACTCCTCCTCCTCCTCTGAAGGACGGATGCGGATGGAAAGCGTTAAGCAAAAAAAGAGATTCAAGATTTTGAACTGTTGCTGATTAAGAAAAGTTGGACGTCCCGACAAGAAATTCTATAAATGAACGGCGGAAGGATGTTTCCCCGTTCTCTCTCTCTCTCTCACGAATTTCGATGATTTTGACGCGGTCTTGTTGGCCGCGGTCCAATCACGATTCCGAAAAGAGGTTTCGGGACGATCGAGGGCCGAGGGCGGACCGGGTCGGCAGAGCGGGTCCTCGTGCCTCGTCTCGTCACGAGGTCGCGTCACTCACCGCCAATTCTTCGGGATTTGAATACATAAGAGTGATCCGTGAGGGCCTGATCGGTTACGAAACGCGAATCCGTTTCTGGTCATTGACCATGACAGCCACGAAACACGTCCTATCCTTATATATACATATATATATATATATATATATTGTCACATGTCTATGCACCTGTTCGCTCAGGGACGTTTCGTAAAATTTGTTTTCGCGCTTGTTTTCTCGATGAGTTATGAAGAAGCAGATTTTTCGATTGTAAAAAAGATATGATTGTCGTAAAAAAGAGTTAAAATTAAAATGGAAAATATATTTGTCGCGTTATTGATCAAATGAGAGAGAGAGAAAGAGAGATATTTCGAATGTTTATCAATCGATAGGAATCACGGCCGGGTGAACAACCACGAAACTATCGGCGTTCGTTGAAAATTCTCGTCGCATTTTCTTCCAGCCGATGACGAGGAATACAAAAGCTTAGTTTTTAAACTTGGTCCAAACTCCAGTGGAGAAAGAAGGTCGATTCAATAAGCTTTCTCGATCGTATATGATCCACGCTTCTTCTTATTCAATTGTCGATAAATCGACGATCTACGTTTCAGGAATTCACTCCAAGGAAAGAAAAGTTTTTGCAAAAAATTATTACCAAAATAATTTATTTACGCTTTCTTACAAGTGTTATTTCATAGAGAATAAATTACAACAAAGTTTCGGATCGTATGAAGGGTGAGAATAAATAATAAACAATAATAATAACAACAATAATAATAATAATGATAATAATAATAATAATAATAAAAAACAGGTACGCAAAGTAGAGACTTTGGCTCGAGAATGTGATCTCTATCGAAGACTTTGCGAAACGAAGAAAAAAAAAAAAAAAAAAAAAAAAAAAAAAAAAAAA